CAAATGACGTGTTGCGCTCGAATGCTGAGGATTGCATTTGGAATGGGCAAGTGGATAGCTGTGGCACTTGGAGACTTAGAGTGTAAACCATTTAGCAGTGCGTAATAGCTGAAGCGGACTGACTCTAATGACATCCATAATGAACAATTATGACGGACTGTTAAGTGAATCGAAATGCTTTCAATTTGACGCAAGGTGTTCGGGGCCGCTGAGGGTAGAGAGGAGCAGACCACCGACGTTGAAGTGCCTGCCAAAAGCAATCTAAAGCAGCTTTGTGTGGCGCACATAATAATTTCACTTTATTTGCAGACGACGACAACATTAAAAGTTGCACAAGACCAAGGAAAGCGGGAGGGAAAGAGAGCGCAAGAGAAAGAGAGAGTAGCGACAGAGAGAAGTGGCAAAAGTGCTGGAGCCAACGTTGAAGTCGCTGCCGATTTGTAACTGGGCCAACACGGCCGTATTTCAGTTACAGTTTAACCCCACGCCAAAGCCAAACAAAGCGAGAGCCAAATGAACCTTTAATGTGGTTTTTGTTACTGTCGCCGCACACCCTATAAACTGACTGAGAGCGGGCATAAGACACTGCGCGAGTGCTTTGGGCAACAAGCCAATGGAAAGCATAAAACTGATTATACTTAATAAATAGTTTGTGCTAAGTAGTTAAGTAGTGTACGGTTAGCCACGCATGCCAATTGGAATCCATGCAAAAATCAAAGGAATACAATCAATATTAATTTATGTACTTATGTTACTATGCTGCAGGGCATCTATGAGTCGAGCACTGACATTTCTCATTTGTTCTTTTTTTCCTTTTATATTTTCTTTCTTTTGGCCAAACACATCGCATCTGAATGTGCGCTTTAATAAACCAACAGACAGCGAACACAAAGCTCACAAAGCTAACAACTACAAATGCAATCTGACTACACACACACATACATTTACATTGTAGAATGGGAAGCATGCAACGACGAGCGAGCAGAGCGTTGCTTGTGAAATGAGGCGCGCCAGCTAAATGCTGAGAAATGGTGAAAAGTTGCAGCATTAAGTGGTGAAAACTACCACCACGAACAACAACAACAACAACTAGTACTACTACTACTACTAATTCTACTACTACTGCTACAACAACAACAGCAATATGAGCGACAGCCGCTGAAAAATGAGGCGACGACCATGGCGCGCGGTGTCGTGTGAAAAATCCAACTGGGAAATCGTGCAAATGTGTCAAAATTGAAGAAAATGACAAGCTTGTAGTCCACACTTTTGACCGCCAGAGGGCGTTTATGTGTGTAGTGGGCGTCTTCAAATGGGATGAGCTGTGCTTAAAAGGCTGACTCAATGTCAAAAAAATCCAAGTCGCTTAAATTGGCCATAAAAATATGCAAATCTTAAATATGAACAATAATTTATCAGAGACTCGATTGATTTACAAATGGAAATGCGCTATAAAGCGAGTGTTTTGTAACTGTCTCAGAATGGAATTTAGGCCAAAGCAACATTTCATAATGTAAATGGCACACTTGATAAGAGAATTTGCATACAATATAGTTACATCAGTCAATAGAGATATGCGACCTTTTGCTAAAACAGTTGCTGAACTGTAAGTCCGTCTTATCAATTAATAAAATGAAAAATTGATAACTCAGCTAAGGTGAATTGCGGCATAGAGAAGGGATTAAAGAGCTCTTTAGAAACCCGTAAGCAAACCTCTTTATGCTTGATTACTTACTTGTTTGCCTTGACGAATAGATCATTTAACTATATGTGTGAAGAGTGAGATTATTGAACCTTATCCAGATGATTAATAGCTTTCTCGACCTTTTCATTCCCCAGCTTTGATAGCAATGCCCTTTCTTTGAGCTGCTCTATTGAGCTGTTGACCACAGTTGTCGAATGTGTTGGGCAGTTAACAAAGTGACGCATGGAAATGAATCAATTTGCAGGCCACATAAAAAGCGCACCTGGTTGCAACGCTTATATATTATGAGGGTAAAAGGTTCAACCGGTTCTAGTGGCACACCAACACCTCGTATAGGTGTGGGTGTGCGTGTGTATGAAGATAAATTCCCCCCATTTTGTCTGCACTTGAAGAAACACATGCTAATTGGCTTAGGAATCAGTTTTTGGCTGGCTTTGTCTATATCGCTTGAGCCATGAACCGTAAATGTTAAATTGCGTTTGCCTGAGTTTTAACACACTTAAAAGAAGCCAAAAATGGTATGGGGCGTGGCTGGTAGCAATAAATTTAAAAAATACTTGATTCTCTCAGCCACACTTGGTTTGTCAGCAAACTAGGGTGAACGAGCAGGTGAAAAGCCACAAAAAGGTTGTGTTTACGACTGACTCTCTTTCAGAACTAGGTCAGGCGGGGTGCTATAAGAAAATCATAAAAACTAATTGAAACACCTAGTGCCCAAAACACATTATAAGAAATGTAAATTAATTAGTTTAAGCACCAAGAAAATTAGATAAAACATTGAAAGTACGTGAAGCATATATTATATACAAAATATATGAAGCAAAGTTGTCTCAACTCAGATTTCTTTATATAGTTAATGTGACTCAACCTTGAATAAGTCAAAATATGTCAAACACTATTAGAAATTTATAAAATTCATATCGAATTTATATGTTTGCGTAAAGCCTCTGTCTTAGTGTCAGAATAAGTCCATAGCAGATTCAATTTGTTAAAGTTGAAAACTTTTCGAAAATACTTAAAGCAGGTTGCAATATTTAACAAATTAACAAAAAATTAAACAAATAATAAATATAAAATTTAATTCATTACAATTTAATGACTCGCTTAGCACATATTTAGGACAATTAAAACACTCAGCTCTATCTACGTAAGTCCTTTTTACTGCAGTTCCCATGGGCTCGTCCTTGAACCTTGTTACATTTATGACCTTTATGTTTGCTCTAGTTGACTGACATGTAACGGTAATTGAGAAAAACTCAGGGCCAAGGTCACAGTTGACGCCGCAAAGGCGTTGCGTGCCAAATGACGAGGAAAACATCAAAGTAAACAAAATGTTGACAAAGCCAACAAATTGCCGAAAATTGAATACACTTGCCAATAAGAGGTAAATGTTTGTATACTTAACATTATGTATATAAATATATTTATATTATTCAGATTCAGATCGTATAGCCTGAAAATATAAATATATATATTTATATAAAAATTTATATAAACATATATAAATATAAATATAAATATAAATATAAATATAAATATAAATATAAATATAAATATAAATATATTTATATTATTCACATTCAGAAATCATTTATCAACATTTATTAAATGTATTGTATGTACATTGCAATGGAAAATGTATATACCCCATGAAGTGCTTGTGGGAGAAACTTCACGTATTTTCCCGGTGAATTGTGTGCTTCAATAATTAGCTTCTGGCAGTTATTTAGTTATCGCAATGAATGAATCACGGCGTCAAGACAG